CCAAAACAGGCTCTAGCGCAGTGCTTCTCAATTTTGGCAAGCATGAGAATCACCAGATTCCACCAATTTGCATTTTAAATCAGCAACCCAGCTGATTCTAATGCACCCCAAAGTGAGACACAATGAGCCACAGCTATTGGTCATTTCTGCTGGCATGAAGAGCCAGTTCTAAGTAAGAAAGTGTACAGAAAGGGCTTCAAAATTTACTCTTTCATCATAGTGGAAACCCTGGTGGCATACTGATTAACAGCTACGGCTGCTAACCAAAAGGGTCAGCAGTTCAAATCTACCAGGTGCTCTGTGGAAGCCCTATGGGGCAGTTCTACTCTGTCCTATAGGGTCGCTATGAGTTGGAATTGACAGCTACGGGTTTCATTTTTTTTTTTCGGTTTCATCATAGTACCTCACTCTGCCCAGCAGAGTGCTAGGCACAGCAGATCTTCAGTGGATGTTTCTGTTCCCGCCTATGCACCCAGTAAATGTTTACTGGTGCCCACGTACGAGATAATACCTTTGTACGAGGGATACAAAGACGAAGTAGGTGAGGTCCAGATCCCCGAAGAATTGGCACCAGAGAATGCAGACAGACATTCACACCCAGCAGTCGTATTCAGTGCCATGAGAGAAGGACACTGAACTGCCCACCCAACATCTCCCACTTGAACGTTTTGTAGTCTTTTCAAATTTAACCAGTGCAAAACAGAGTTCTTGATCTGCCCACCCCCCAAACCTGGTAGGCCCTTCCTATCAACAAATGTACTCCTAAACTTCCCATATACTAAAGCAAAAACAAAACACAAACCCAGGCATCATCTCTGATGCACTCCTTTCTCTTGCCTCCCCACATCCAATCCATCACCACATGCTGTCAATCACATCTCCACATTTTATCTACAATCTGTCCAATTTTCTACAATTCCACCACCACCACAGTAATCCAGGTCACCATCACCTCTCATCTGAAAAAGAGTAGCCCTTTGACTGGTCTCTGCTCTTCCAGCTTTGCACCCCTGACGCCTAATCTCCTTACAGCAGTGCAAGCCATCTTTGTCAACAGTGTACCTCAAACAAAATCCAAGCCACAGCCTACAAGGGCAAGGGATGTGGCCTCTGCCCACCTTTCCATCCTCATTCATCCCAGGTTTCCCCATGGCTCTACACTAGGCTTTATTAGTTTCTCAAACATGCCAAGTCCTTTCCTTCCTCTCAGCCCTTACATTTGCTGTTTTCTGTGCCTGGAAAGCATCTCTCCTCAGCTCTTCACAAGCTGGCTCCTTGTCATTATTCAGGCCTCAAGGCCACCTCCTCAGAGCCTTCCTCCATGAAAGCAGGGCCTGCAGGCCAGTTACCCTCGATCACTTCACCCAAGCGGTTTCTTCGGTAGTCCTTATCACACAACCTTATTTGCTCTACTTCACTGTTGTAGTCCCAGGCCTGGCACAGCGTCTGGCACAAAACTGCATCAGGAAGGTTTCACAAACGAGACAGAATGTGAAACCAGGTTGGAGTCATACAAGCAAGAGATCAGATACCACTTGAAATTTAAATTCTGGGAGTAGCTGTACCAGAAGATGCCAGCAGGTAAGTTTACCTGCTTACTGAACAATTCTCAGCTCCAAGACCAGGTTTTCATAAAAGAAGAAAAACAATCCAAGGACTCTGGGTGGGTCTGGGTCCTGGTTGGGGAGGAAGATGTGCAGAGGAATTACCAGTTACAAGCTCTCACCTGATGAGCCCGGAGCAAGGCAGTCCTCCGATACATGTAGTCCTCCGACTTGATCACATACACCATCTTGTAGGAATTCAGCTTGAATCTACACTCCAGCTTATCCAGGCTATCCACATTCTCCATGGTCTTCTTACTGTTTCCTTCCTTTCCTTCCTTTTCCTGCTGTTCTCGACCACGCTGGCACTTCCGGATGCGCCGCAGATTCCTACAAAGCAGAACGAGAGCTTATCCAGCTGTAGGTTCCCATGACTCCCCCCTAATTAGTTCTCATTATTATATGCCTTCATAGTACTTCCCACAATTTTAGTTATATACATATAAAAAATGTTCAGTCGTTTCATTGTTAAAAAAATTAAATACAGAAATACATAAAATAAGAAGTAAAAACCCTCAATCATTCTCTACTCTAAATTCTCCAAATCCTATTTGCCTTGGCAGAGGTAGCTACTGTTGACAGCTTTAAGTTAAAACTTTCCAGCCCTCTGTCTATTAACATATGTACTTACAAGTTGTAGTTCTGAGATTTTTTTTCTATAGACAAAATAGGATCATGCTATATATACTGTTCTAGGATGCTTTGACACATGCTCCAGGTAAGCCCATGGTGTCGTAGCCATACAAATCTTGAATTAGCATCCTCAGAAGACCGAACGAATAAATAACAAGTAAAAACCAATAATCTGAGAGTCACTTAACTCCCCATTCCTCAACTACACACAAGTATACTGCTGACAGGTGACTTGACTCACTCACCTTGGGAGAAACACTGGTTTCTGTGCCAGATGCTCACGGAGCTCAAGAGAGGTAGTATCGGAATTCATGTAACGTTCCACATAGTCTGACCAGCGCTAGGATTATAAATAAAAAATTGGGGCAGGAGATCACAAAAATGGAACTCCATCTTCATCAGGAAGTCTAACAAATTCTGTGACTAAAGTGTCCAAAATCCCTAAATTTCAAGAACAAAAAAATCCCTTTCCACAATGACATGTTTGCTACTTGATATTAGAATAAAGATAAAAAATTCTGTTCGACAACAAGACCTAAAGTTTGTCTTCTTATCAGAAGTCATAAATGAATAGAAGCTGACTCACAAGTTTTACTTCCCCAGAGGATTTAAAAAAAAAAAAAAAAAAATACAGTGACAAGTGTTTGAAAATCTGTACCTTTCACATTAAAACCTGGATTTCTGGCATATCTTGGGGAAAAAAAATTCAAAGACATGGCAACCATGAGCC